ACCATATCGCCGCCCTTGGCGTCGAGCAGTCCCTGGACCGCAGCCTTGTCTCGCGCCAGCGAGATGCTTCTCCTCCAACGAAGTGCGGAAGCGCTGGGCCTCCGCCTCGAGCGCCTTTGCCCGCTCGGTGCCCGTCCGCTCCGAGTCGGCCAGCTGCTGCTTCAGGCCGTGGAGGTTGCGGCTGAGCAGCGTGTTTCTGCGCCGCAGCTCCTTGCGGTCCTTCTGCTTCTCCTTGATGTCGTCGATAGCCGAGCTATAGTCTGCGAGCTGCTTCCGCTTCGCGTCGGTCGCCTCCTTCATGTTGTGGATGATTGCGCCGTACTCCTTGATCTGGGTCTTGAAGCCCCTCTGCGACTCGGAGATGGCCTCGATGCGCAGCCGGTTCTCCAGCAGCTAAAGGGGGGCGAGGGGCGCTGTCGGCGTGGGCGGTCGGTGGGACTGCGCGGCTCACGTGCGCGGCGCCTCCTCCCGCATGGTCGTGTCCTGGAGGCGCACGCGCTCGTCGTGCTGCAGCTTCGCGCGCAGCTTCTCGTTGTCCTGGACGACGCGCTGCAGCTCCTGCTGCGTCCGTGCCGAGTCGTGCTCGCGCTTCTTCGCCTCGTCGGCGTGCGACATGCTCTGCGAGTACACGCTCTCGACCGTCTTGATCAGCCGCGTCGCCTCGGACGCTGCGTCGCGCGAGCCGACGGGCCAGCTGCCGGAGCCGGACTGGTGCATCGTGTACTGCGTCGCCGTGATGTGTGTGCCGCCGGCGAACATGCTCTCTGCGGTAAAGCTGCAAGAGCGGCGACGGACCCTTCTTGCGCGCCGCCCGGCCCCAAAGGAAAAGACGCTGCGGGCTAAAAAGACAATTTAAAACCCCGACAAAAACTGCCCGGGGAGACCCCGGCCGGGCCGCCGACGCTCAAGGCGAAGCGGAGTCGAGGCCACAGTCGAGGAAGAGGCACCAAAAACGACTACAGAGGCAGTCTGGTAACGCCCGGAAGGCGAGCAAGGGACTGGCAAAGCGGGAGTTCAACGGTGAGAAGGTCAAAGACACAGTTTGGATCCTGACAATGGACCAGACTGCTTTGGTGAAGAAGTGAAGGCAGTTGGCGAATTTGTCGATTTGCTCGAGACGAAAGGCAGGAAACTGCGCAACAGGAAAACGCCGTTGCCTGTTGCGCAGTCCTGGTACCAGGAGAAGCTGGAGGAAGCGAAGCGGCAGGAAGCCGCGAGACGGTCGAGAAGGACGACAGCGCGGAGCCGGGGTGGCTGGCCGACGTCGCGATGCATTTCGTCGGAGTTATCGGGTACACCTCGGAGTGGAGCAGGGGAGATCTGAGCTACGCGCGCGCGATGCACAGGCGACAGTTCGTGCAACAAGGGGGCTCGCTATACTACGCCAATCATCGAGGCATTGAGGGGCGTGCGGTTGAGTGACGACAACGGAGTTCCAACGGTGCTAAGCCAGTCGAATGGGCGCGAAGTAAACTTGGGGCCGACTCCTGAAGTTATCAAACTCGATGCTACGTGTGCGATTAAGGTTTGCGCACAAGGGTCGAAAAGCGTCGCTCATATGTGAGGAAGAGCCGTGCGATAGAAGCAGCATTCTTAGCCAGATATTTTGGGCCGCCGCAAAGAATGGCGTGGTCAAAGCCAGTCGTCGCGTGGTTCACGAACGTGGCACTGAATTGAGCATTGACATCGGCACCAAGCGTGGGGAGCCAGCGGCTCGATATGATGCGCCCGAAGCTCGGGGTAATTCACAAGGACCGGATCCCTGACGTACGTCGTACCCCGATTACCGCGAGCTCGGCGACTTTTTTGGGGCTTCCCCAGGGGAAATCTAAATGTGCCCAGCAGCCCAACGCCGGGCTGCCCAACGGGGGCGTATCAACTAGTGGGAGGAGTGCGGCATGCCGCCAGCTGCATCCTCGTGTCGATGCAGCCCAGCTGCATCCTGCTCTCACCCCAGACAACACACACACCTCCCACGGCGCGCGTGCTAGGGACGGACAGTCAAACAGACAGTAGCTGGCGCTGATCACCGAGCTGTTCTCGGTCGCGCGCAATGTGCAGAGAGCTGAGGCTAAGAGTACGGGGGGTTTGCCGTACAGGGCCCGCTTTGGCGCTGGTCGTGCCGTGTGTTACGGATCCGAGCCCGGGCTGCCGGTGCTGCCGCTGCAGCAGCCGCAATCGCCGTTGCTTGCCGACTCGAGATTACTCCCGTGGTCTCCGCTCGACGAGCCGCCGTTGCAGGGCCGCTTGGAGCATTCTCCGTTTGAGCCGTCTGCGTAGGGGGGTGGGCAGGGGGGTAGGGGTGGGCGGGAGGGGGCGGGGTAGGGGTGGGCGGGAGGGGGCGAAGGTGGGGAGGCGAGAGGGCGAAGGTGGGGTGGGAGGCTGGGAGAAAGGGGGGGGGGGGGGGG